GCCGAATTTCTTCTTGATGGTCTTGGAGCCGGAAGGGGGCGTGGAGCAGGAGGTCTCCGCGGGCTGTGCTTTCACCAGCGGCTGGCTTTTCCTGCGGAGGGATGGGAGACCGGCGTCAGAGAGGACAAGAGCCCACCCTGCCCTGGTGCGTTCGTCCGAGCCTGCCTGGACACGCTCCGCGTCTCTCTGCACGTCTGTCCCACTCACATCCTCCAGTATCGGCTCCCGAGATGGACACTTTGGTACGTCCGGCGGAAGCCAAGTTATATGCAACAAGGATACTGCCTGGTGACAAACCCTTCCCCTCACGTGAAATCTTTATTCGAGTGTGTGAAATTATAGGTGGGGACGAAAAGCAATGAAATGACAGCTCAGTTATTGTCAGGGTAAGAAAAAGCAAGAAAAAGTTCCAATTTTATTATGAGTGATTTACCAAATCCAGTGGTAGAATTTTTACATCCAGTCGTAGTGACCGATTTCAAAACTGAAATGAGCTGGGATGGTTGTATTATTAAAAAAAACTAAAAAAAAAACTGTTGTATTATTTAGCATAACCTGAACTGATTTCTCTTAACTGCGCCTTCATAGAAAACATCCTAAATCTCAGGGAAGTCTATGCTAGCAGAACACTCCCATAACATGTGGTCTAAACTCCCTTAAAACGTGGTTACACAGTTTCCCCAGCTGTGTTTTCACACCTGAGGACATCTCTCGACAAGCTGAAAGTAAGCCGCTTTCATTTCTTGCCTCTCAGTGCTACAGTTCAAGAACGGTCAAACTGGTGCTGTGCTTTACGATATCAGGTCAGTTTCTCTTCTGCTTCCCGTTTGGCAATTTCTGTCGGCTCTGTCCTTTAAATCCACACCGACGCTCGATGTCTGGGTGTGGTCTAAACGCAACCTTGCAGGGAAGGCTAAATTAACGTCATGTCCTTCGCTAAAGGTTTCGCAGTTATTTTATTCTTCCAGTGTTTGTTTCTTTAAACTGGACGGCACACGAGAATGTCGCAGAGACTCGAAGCGATCTGGCAAAAATAACTCCGTGGAGAAACCAGCAGTGGGCAGATGCACGCGTGATCTTTACTCCTCCATTTCTGGAGGAAATCGGGAGAACAGCCAGGATGGACTGCGATTCCCAGCAGCTGATGGGAGGTGCTGTGCAGTAAACACCCAATCCAGGTAATCTGTACCCTGCAGAGATACTGCTTGCAGCCCTTACTGTATGTGTTCAGTCCCAGTACCCTGCAAAAAACTGCAATGGCAAGTCCATTATTGCAGCATTTGTCATATCCACAATACAGCGAACCACACTGAGCCCTAATTATGGGTGATTTTCCCAATACATTCTAGATTATTGAAATATTCAAGGTTAAACAAAATGAGGGTGAATAAAAACTGCAAAGGAGGGAGTACGCCTCTCTTTGCCTGGTGGTCTGATCCAGTCTAACAAGCTGCAGACACCTGTACAGGTTGTGATGAACACGCAGCACATAGCAGAACAGCAAATGTGCCGGATATTGTTCATGCCTTAACCCCACGTCACCCTGTGCCACAGCATTCTAAACCAGGAGGCCAGTGGCTCAAGCTGCTGTGCAAAGGGAGTCTTATTTCCCATCCCTGACGTTGCTGCGGAGGAGCTTTGAGCCTCTTGTGACGCTGTGCCGAGAACGAGGGGCGGAGGCAGCGAGCGCAACTCACGTGGGGTCATCTGGGATGATCTTCTTGGTGAAGAACTCCTCTACGCCCTCGTCCACCTTGCCCATGTCCTCGGTCGCCTCATGCTCCCCCTCGGCGGCCGGCACCTGTCCGACAGACACGACAGGCAGGGGTGAGCCCACGGAGGGGGTTGTCCCAGTCTACATCCGCCATCACCGAACGTCAGGATGCACGCGCTGCTGTTGTGCCCGTCTGCAAAGCAGGCTGCGCTCGACAGGCCAGGCCATGCGTCCCTCTGCTAGACGCCCAACCACGACCCCTGGGTTCTGCTCGGTACCCTGTGGCAGTGAGAGTGGCGGCACTTCTCCGGCTTCAGACTAGCTCCCCGCGATTGAGGCGTGTGTGACGGCCCAAGGCTCGAGCCTCAGAGTGAGAATTTCAGCAGCAGGCAGATCAAAAACTCCTGACTCCTGATTTGGCGGGTGAAAAATGAAAAAAACAACAACAACTGGGGATCACAAATTTTAAAGAATCACAGTGGTGACACGACAAATCTGACTTTTGCCGGTTGTGAATATATATCTGACAAATCTGTGCAAACAGAACAAACCAAAATTTTCATAGAATTTGTACTGTGGGGCCCGGCCCGGCCCTGATAATCCTGTCTGATCATCTGTTTGCCTGCGATATGTGAAAGAAGAGAGCTCATGCAGGCAAAATATCAAATTCCTTAAACCCTAGAGGCAGTACCACTGGACCTCATAGGCTGTTTCTGAGGTTAGGTCACATTGCCATTAACCAATTAGTGATGACGTATCAGACAGAAAGGAAGAACAAAACCAGTATTCATGACCTCATGTGAAAATGTCCAGTGATACTCTCCAAAGGTGTTCTGTTTTTATATGACATGCTTGCTTGGACCTGTTTTCACAACAGCTAAAGGTTAACTCAAGATAAAGCCCCTCTATATCATCCAAATACACTATTTTTAGTCCTTAAACTTATGCCATTATAACCCAAGAGCCCTGCTTTTTGAATCCCTGATTTCTTGCATCTCTTAGGGATCCTGAATTAACTACTCATACATAATTCACTGTGGACTTGAGCTTTTTTGATCTTGGCCAGGGGGATATTGTTATTACAAGTCACGTATTCATAAGACACCAGCACAATGGGATTCAGAAAAATTATTTTCTAAATTCCATATGGTTCTGCACAGAACAGGAAACAGCCTTTAGGTTTTCAACAACACTGAATTGGCAATGGCATCACTCAGGTTTTACAGAGAGAAACTAAGAGAGGATGTCTCATGACAGCTGTGAATAATGGTGGTGGATTCCCCGTTTTAATGGGAAGCCGCAGTTTTCTCAGATCAAGCTACAGTGTACTGCTGCACAGACTCTGGCCTTCAGGCAGTGCGGGTGCTGCATTAAGTAAGACTGCAAAACTATAGCAACCATATGTAAATCAAGAATGGAGCTGCATGAAATTGATGATAAATTATTTAGCTCCTCCGAGCCTATCGGAAGGCCCGGCTTCAAAACCTTCCATTCCACCACATTTTGAACGGAAACGTAACAACGCGCAAAATGGTCACTTCAAGACAGGAGGTTCATTCTGAACTACAGCTGAAGTGCTCGCTGAAGAGCTGGGACTCTGCGGCCAAATGTTTTCCTGGCTGCCAGATGGAATCCTGCCTAATCGCCACGGCCGTACAGAACGCAGCACAGCACAGCTCAGAGACGGGCACGCACCATTCTGATCTTAGCCTTCTCTTGTACTGCACGGGGATTTTTGCAGTTTCCTGACCTCATCGTTTTTGGAAGCGTTAAGGCATTTAAGGGTTGCCTTGCTTTTGACATTTATTCTGACTCTTGTCCCTTTCACTCTTGCTTTAGTGAAGTAAGGCGTTTCACAGAGAAGAAAGAGGTATTTTGCCTCCTGCCATGAACTGCCCTGCTGTGTTCTCTGTATACGCTCTTCAAATACCTGTGGATTCTATGTCAGACAATCTTCATTTGAAAAGGGCTGCTTGATAGGGGGATCTAGACAGGGCAGATTCCACTGCTAAGTGGGCGAGTGAGACACCTCACAGTGGTCGGCTTTCCTCTTGTGAGCAGTGACTAACGGACAGAGCAGTGATGCTCTGTCACGAGCTCTCCAGCTGGTAGAGAGCAGCAGCAGCTGCAGCCTTCCCTTCTCTTTGAGGCAATCTGCAAGTATTTCCAGAGCAGGCGGCCTTTTCTCCTGGGGGAGAGTTGTAGGCAGATCAATACTTTGCAACAGAAATTAAAATAAAACAAGACATGTTTTTGGATCCCTGGATTCCATCCATCTCGTTATCACTCTGCCATTCTCACTGGCGGGGGCTCAGAGCTGGCCTGACCGTCACAGGTGTTGGTGGCAAAGACAGAAAAAGAAAAAGTTCATGGCTATGGCGTCTCATTGAAGTGTCCATTTGCACTCTGTTGTTGAAAGGAAACTCCTTTAGAAGGGGATGTTTACATTTTTCTCTTAATAGCCTTGTATATTTTCTTATATAAACAGATGTAAATCACAACAAAAACAACAACATGGGTTTTCACACCAAGACAGGACCTACATACCCAAAGCCCCACGTCGATACAATTGCCCACACAGAGACTCAACGCAAAGCACTGCGATTAGACACAGACAGCAACAAGAGCGACACGACAGCAGTGAAACTCGCAAACAGGAATACCGAATCTTGGTAAACCAAGGCAGACCGCGACACGAAACAGTAGCCCACTCGCTGATTTAGACAAACAGCGCTGGACAACAAATCCAGCATGCGGACTCTCACACACGCACACACCTGCTACGCTCCCTTTCCAGAGGCTCTGTTACGGGGCTGGGTCTTCTCCCTGATTGATCATCATGATTAATATGCAACTCCCCTCTGCAGCAGCCAGCCGGTTGAGCTGCTTGACCCAGCTGCCGCCTGTTCCCCCTGCACACGCCGATACACGAGCCCGTGTGGACGTACAGTACACAGCGCCGCCGATCCATGCAGAAAAACATGCACACATTCACTCGCACACAAGAGCAGCCCTGCTGCAGCAGAAAAAGGAGGATCTCCTGCTCGAATCCTCCTTCCTTCAGACTGCAGGTTGCAAGCAGGTGGTCTCCCATCCTGTTTCCCCGGAATCTTTCCGATTTCCGCTGTGTCCCATTACGTAAAGTCAGCTAAAATTAAATCTGAGCGCAGGAGAGGCAAGCACCAGGAAAACTGCAGGATCTCAGGTGAAACTGATAGTCCACCTCCATAAACAGGCATTCTTTCCAACCAGTATAGGACTGCAGTGTTTCCAAACCAGAGGACCCTTATCTCTAGGCGAGCAGACTGGCAAGAATTTTGTGCAATTTCAAACGCTCCAGGTCTCTATCAACACCAGTCAGACCACTCTCAGTTCCAGTCCAAGCACACAAGCACAGTGTAAATATATATAAGAAGCAAACCCTGACACACACACACACAGCCCCACAGTGATGCCTGGCTTATCCAACACGCAAAGATCTGAGCCTCCCCCTGCTTTCAAGAAGCCTGTTTCCTCGTCCGCCAACGAGAGAGAGAGACCGCATTTATGTGGAAACATTAATAATTAAGACGCCTGAAACAGCACAGGCAGTGGCAGTGACACAGTGACATCTGTAATCCTAGCAGTGCAATTTCCAATGTTAAAACACAACCCCGGCGACGAGGATGAAGGGAGAAAAATAAAGCAAGATGAGCAGGAGCCACAGCAGCAAACTGGGGAAATAAAAGCAAACAACAAAACGCTGTCATGTAGCCCCCCAGGCGTGCAACAGACACAGAAAAGGCCAGACCAGCCAAAGACAGTAATACAAGAACAGAGATTCCTGTAGGCAGAGACAGAAGCTCCGGATCTGCAGTGGCTGAAGAGCGACTGGAGCCCTTGTACAATCCTGCAGGATGCTCCGTTTCAGATCATCGTCGGCAGCCTCTCTCTCCCTCTCCCTCTCTCTCTCCATCACCATCCCCACTCCCAGCCCCTTCTCCCTTCCCCGATGCAGAAGGCGAGATTCAGCAGGCAGGTTGCTTACATGCAGCTTGCTGGGAGGCAGCTTGTTCTTGCGGTTGGGTCTGGGCCTAGCGCGGGTGTAGTGCTTCAGTCTCTGTCCTTCAATGGGCAGGTCCATAGGGGGCTGAGGAGATGCAGGCTCTGAGAGCGGAGGCAGATTGTTGCTAAGAGCAGCAGCATCCTCCGGGTAGGCGGGGCCGAGCTTCAGTGGCGCTCGGCTGATTGACGGCCCGTTCGGCCCGCCCCCCGCCTCCCCGTCCTCCTGCTGGGCCTCCGCTACCACGTCGAGCAAACCTGGAGGGAGAGGGGGGGAGCAGGAGTGAGCAGGGGGGGGGGAGAACAGAGAGGGAGGAGGAGAAACACAGAGGAAAAGAAAAGGATGAAAGAGGAGTAGAAGAGTGCTGAGGTGGGTGGGAGGGCAGCCAAAAAAAAGGGGGGCGAGTGAAGAGAAAGGGAAGAGAAATAAAGGAGAGAAGAACAGACATGACCAGGTCCTGTGGGGCAGGCACCTGTGCAAACAGGGCCACTCCAGCCCAGGACATTGGCTTCCTATGCAGCCAGTCTGAAGCCCTTGTGAAATCGGAGTGGAGTTACAGTTCTGGAGTGTTGCTCCGTCCTTCTTTGCAAGAGTGTGCAGAAAATGATCCCACAAAGCTGAATTCCTGGGGTTGTCTAGTTCACGTTTGTTTATTACCTGGCGTTTCGGTCTATTTAGATCAAATGCAACAAATGACAGCAGATGTGCATCGCTTGAGTGCGGCAGCAGGGGAATTTCACCAGCGACACATCGCTAAGCCGACGGCGCAGCCTGGCGAGAGCACACAGCGGAGCAGGAGCAGACCTCATGGAGACAGGCGGACTGAGGCGAAGACAGGAGGCACGGGCAGACGAGGTTTGGAAGGAGAGCTGCTTAGGAGAGACGGGATGGATCTGTCTGCCGGTGGGCTCTCCTCCCACCTCCCCCCAGCCCCGTCCAGAGGCTCAGTGGAGTGTGAGTAACCTGGTCACGCTCCAGTTTCCCCAACCCCAGGTTTACGGGACAGCACAGCGCTGCTAATCTATTGTCAGGGGTAGTGTAATCCCCTCTCATCCTCAAGAGCCATATCACCGGCCACACCCCCCACCCCACCTCCCCCAACGATCCTTTGATCCCTTCAGCACTGACAGCCAGCAGGGAACTCTGGGAGGGGAATCCCAGAGCAGCAGGCAGGAAAGCCCTCTCGGGCAGGAAGAGACCGAGCTCAGAGTCCCGGGGCCTAAAACTGTGACTCACACCAGTATGCAAATCTACTCAAAATAAGGTAAGAAGCAGCTAGTGTTAACATACGCACAAGAGCTTGCGGGAACCACACAGTGCTCCCCGTCACATCCAGACAATGATTTCATAACACACAACGAGTTTACATTCTTAACCTTTTAAAATGAAAGGAGATACGATTGTAAGAGAAACTGCAGAGGAATATTCAATGTGTTTTAACTACTCCTTCCTAAAAGGGCTTTAGGATGTAGGGATTGTCTGGCAATATGGTTTAAAAACAAACACAAGGCCCTGGTGAGAAGGAAAAAGTGCTACCTACACTGTAGTGTTAATCACACTCACAATCTTTCCTTCAAGAAATCAAGAGAGGACCTCTCTCTGACCACAGACTGAATTTACTTCTAAACTGATTGCCTGACCTATTTAACTCATCACTCTGACCCTTAAGCCCATTACCTCTTACTCTGCTTCAGGACCAAGAATAAGACACTTACTCTTCACAGATGGTGCAGGTCGAATGCTCCGGGTGTGAATGGAGTTCCGCCAGATACCTGGAACATACTGACAGAAATAAAACAATGAGCCAGTGACGTAGTGACCATATTCTGTATTGCATGAGCTGCAGTTTTTTTAGCAGTGAGCTTGAATTTTCACAAACTCTCTCCTCCCTGTTCTGCGTTGTTTTGGGGCTCACGTTTCAGCGGTAAAGCTGACTGGGTCCTGTCCGCAGAAGCAGCGAGCGTGACCTCTGCTGCCACCAACCGCCACAACGCGTTGGCACGAAAATGCGTTTCGCAGCTCAGGTTTGTAGACGGTGGGACAGAGAGAATGAAGGAATGGGAAAAAAGCAGAAATGAAGGGAGAGAAGGACTGTCCTCACCTCATCTGTCGGGAACTCCATCTCCACCACTCGGAGCTGAGGAATGTTGGTCTTGACGGAGTTTTTCTCGTTAGGCGCTGGAGGGGCCTGTGTGTGTTCTGAAACATGCTGGTCCTGAGGGAAGGAGCCAATCGCCGCTCAGTCTTCAGGTCTCAATTCATTACTGCTGATGTTCTAATTTATCCGGCCCACACTTCTATCCAATGACAACTTATATTTGCACCCATTTATACTACTGGGTATAACAATTTGGGTCTCGCCAAAATGTGATCAATTCAGCATTCACCACAAAGTCATGAACTTTGTGAAAGTGCTGTAAAGTCGCCATGTTGTCACAGACCACTGGTCTCGTCACGGGCAAGAGCAAGAGTTTGTACAAGCTGCGACACAAAGCTGCCCTTCCTGCTCACTAGTCACTGTACTGACTAACGTAATGTGATGTACGAATGAATAAGTACGAGTTGTACAGTAGAAATTTCACTACAGAAAGTTTCCAGTGTGATCTGCAAGTGCAGTTAGCAAGTAAGATTTGTCAGCAAAACCGTCTCAAAGTCAAGAGCAATATTTCTATTGGATGAAGAGAGAGGTCTTCACAAGCTCCACGTTTACCATGTAATAAGCCTGCTTCACATCACTTGAGGTTTTGTTGCCTCATTCTGATTTACAGAACATGGCGCTGCTCAGATGAGGACATTTAGTCTATTTTGTGATGTAAATATGAGGTTTTTACAAGTTACTGTGTACATCTGACTTATATTGTGGTTTGCAAAGCACACATCAATGCCGATTCTCAATAACCCCGAAATATAAATACAGCCTTGAAACCCTCAGCCTTCCAGTTACAGTACAAGTTCAGAACCCTGACCACTGTCAGTGAATATGGTAGATGGGCACAGCAGTGGGCCAACAGCCAGCTTCTCTGGTGGCTTCAGCACTGAACCAGGCACTGGCACATTGTGTAGCATCCAACAGTTAAACAATGCTATTTTAGGTCTTACCAAAATGAATTCAGAGGAGTTCCTCCCTAATCCTTCACCAAGACACTGATCTGCATGGCTCATAGTTGCATCACACTAATCATTAACAACACAACTCCACTTGACCTGTGTCCACTGGGACCATGCACACATCGCTGGCATTTACCAAACACACCCCTGGCTATCACAGCCAGGTGCAGCTTTTGTTGTGCAATAAAAATGACTTTAATCCCAAAAAAGGCAAATTTGTGTTATTCCTAGGTTTCTTAAGGAGTGGCAACTTAATTTAATTTCTAGCAGACAGCGCTGTCAGGAAGAGCACTTGATAATACAGGCACTGCTGCAAATCCAAAACAGGACCAAAGCTATTTCATTTCCTCCTGTTTTCCCCACTAATAAGGACTATGACAGCAGTTCACAAACAATTGAGTTCTAGTGGTAGTCTGCATTAACTCAGCATGTTAATATCCGTACATCTTATTTTGTCTCATGACTACCTATTTATACAGCTACCACTCTGTGTCTCCTTCTGTCTCACTAGAAATATTCCAATTAAATTGCTGTGTCTTCAGAATTAACTTCAGCTGCTGTTCTTAGTATAATAGCTGCCAAGCGCAGTGGTGAGTCGGCCCCCCGCCTCATGTCTGAGCCCCGAGTCTTCCGCAGCCAAGAGTGAATCAGCTCACAGCTCCACACGACTGCGCTCACCAGTTTCTGCTGAGACGTTGACAAGTCCTGTAAAATCTCGTCGATGATGCTCTCAGCCAGAGTGACGCTTATGGACAGTTTGAGCTCGCTGAAGAGACAGGGACATGAAAAGCGGGAACACAACACAGAAATAGAACGGGATGAAGTCAGTAGCCCTTCACCTGGGTTTCACAGAAAATAATACATTTCACACAAAAGAAATTGAAAAACCCTGAGAAGATCACATCATCACAAAGGAACAGAGATGTTAATTGAGTTTCAATTATTTCTAGTGATTAAGGCACAGCGGTCTTCTAACAACACAGCTTCAGTTAAATTGTTCTTAGGGGTTCACTGCCAGTCCTAAAGAGCCAATTTTCACTGATTCTGTTACCAGCTAAAACACAGCCTGAACACGAAAGTGAAAAAAAAAGACCCCCCAAGACTACGCCTATAACCAGATAAAACCCTATGGCCATCTTTCAAGGATATTAAAAAAGGAGGATGCAAATGCTTCTTTTCCTGCCAAAATGTAAATAAAAATTAGTAGCTCCTGAGAATGAGAATGAGCTACTCAAACACACATTTGCCTTCACATTTACAAGTGCCCTTGCTATCTGCTGTGATTTATGCTCCATTTGTCCTCAATTAGCACTTGATTTGTCACAAGAGTGGCATATGTCGACTTCTTCCTGCCTTCCTTCCTAGGGGACGGCTCTTTAATGACTAAACCCTTGGTTACAGTGTGGTTTAGAGATACAGAGCAGATGTGCGTGTGTCTGACCTGAGTTTGTTCCTGATGTGAGCTCCCGCCTGCTGCATCAGTGTCTCCTGCACAAAACTGGCTGCCTGCCTCGATTTCTTGGACACACAGCTGGCCAGCTGGTCCCGGACAGCAGTCCTCTGGATCATCCTGGGGCAGCTTCTCTGTGCAGCGCCCAGCATGCACTGGACCAGGTCCTGTGACACAGCAGGAAGAATGCCTGAGAATCCGACCAAAGCAGAGACCTTTGACTTCCGGCATATTTCTTGCAAACGCTGCTCATGACATCCGCCTCTTCCTCGTCCATATTGATTTCCGTCAGTATTGATTAGGAAAGGCCTGTGGTTTCTGTGTTGTAAATTCCTAAATTGAACTTATAGTGCATCCTATGGAGTCCTCTGCCTTGAGCCTATTAGCTTTGAAATTTAGTAACTAAGTTCTGCAGAAACTTTAAGCCTTCTACTTAATTCACCAGCAGCTATATTGCTCTGCAACTCACCACTGGCAAATAACTGAAGCTCAGAAGGTGTGAGCCTGGGATTTGTGAGCCTGGGAAACAAACTAAGGTTGCTGCTGGAAGAGGTGTTAGTGGGATCAGCAGGGGGAGCTTACCCTGCAGTCTATGTGAGTCCTAAAGCCCCAGTATACCATCAAAGTGTAGTGCTGGGGACACTACACTGTAAAAAGGTGGCATCCTTCATATGAGACATAAAACCAAGGTCCTGGCTCTCTGTGGTCATTAAAAATCCCTCTGTGTTTCTCAAAAAGAGTAGGGGTGTTACCCAGGCATCCTGGCCAAATTTCCCCCTGGTCTTTACCAAACATGGCATCCTAATAATCCCCATCTCTGAACTGGCATCATCACTCTGCTCTCCTCCCCACTGAGAGCTGGTGTGTGGGGAGAGTACTGATGGACTATGGCTGCTGGCTTATCACCCAGGTGAAGCTGCACCACTGGTGGTGGTGGAGGGGATCCCCATTACCTGTGAAGTTCTTTCAGTGGAGTATCCAGAAAAGTGCTATATTCTGTGCCTGTCCTGACTCTGCAGCTGTGAAAGGTGCTCCAGTGAAGTTTGATTTCTAAAGTTGAGTGGTTTTCAATTGAGGGCCCAGCGAGCTCAACATTGCCACCCTCTCACATCGCCTAAACCTCCTACTGGGGCACAGTTATGTAACCGATACACCCAGCCACTATGAGTAACCTTTCTTTTTTGCTTATGTAACTCTGCACGCAGCATCACGATATACAGCACGTCCTTAAGAAGAGAAAGCTGCAATCAAATCTCAGAGCACTAAAATGCAAGGTGCAGGCAAAAGTGTGGAGATACTGTAGCTTCTTCAGTCTACCTAAAGCAAAACAAACGCATAGTGTTGCTCTTCTTAATAAGGGCTGCACATCTGATTCCAAGAGCATGGTCATACAGAATCACCTTCTGACCTTGTATAGAAGCAAATTACTAATATGAATGGTGAGATTCTCAGTCAATGAAGTTCTGCTTCTAAGTAGACGTAAGGGACTTGTCTACTGGTGTTCTGCCCATTTAGAGCTCAGAATTTGATTAACTGAAGGAGCAGTTTGTGACCTCACCTATCCTCTCTCCTGTCTTCCTCCTCAACACTCACATTTCACATTTACTCTGGTGTGTGCATACGCTGGATGGCTCAGGTTCAAGGAGCCCTTTACCTGAATCTCTTCAGTAATGTCATTGGTGATGACCCGGGCTGCGTCGTTCAGCCTGTCTTGCAGTGCACTGGCACTAGATGGCGCTCTGCCCAGCTCATACAGGGTTGGCAGCAGCTGAGAGGAGGAAGAACAGTTCCACTGGCTGCAGCACAAACATGTCAACAGCACACCCACACACAAGCTCGGCACAGTTTTTTTTTGTTTTTATATATACAGAAACTGATCTGCCTGTTATAGAGCATCAAAAGCAAAAACAGTGCCCATTTCTGTCTATATTCTCTTGGCTATTTGTTGTATTTTTCTGTCAAAAACAGGCCTTCTCTGTCACACAGCTGAGCCTTAATAGAAATAAGCAGAAACAGTTCTGTACATGGGTAATCCAGCCTGACGATGATGAACTGATCCTGCTCTACGAGAGCTGTAAGAAGGAGAAGTGTTTTCCTCACTTCTCCTTGGGGGCACTCCCAGAGGGGCACTCACAGAGATGGAGGCCCTGGCATCCCGCAGCACTTCCTCCGCAGACAGGATGTCGTCCTGGACTTCCTGGACGCTGCAGGAAGTGAGCGGCTTCACGCTGTCCTGGACTTTCAGACACAGGCGCTGCACCAGCTGAGAGGGGACAGGACAGGGGAGAGACAGGGTGAACACGCCATAGCTTTTGGGAGCGTCCTAGTAGTGTGGTACTCAACTCAGGCAAGAGACAGAACTGGGTAATGGATACTGAAGTCAACAGAAGCGCGTCAAATCAAGGGGCAGACCTCCCCGTCTCCCCAGAATTCCTACTCACCCCCCCTAAGTGAAAGCAGACCTGAACTCCGCAGAACCCAGAAGATCTGATTATCTGACTACATACTCCTACTTACACCCTTCTAATAATCTTTAAACGCAATAATGTTCCGTTAAAGGCGGATGAGCATTGTAAGTCATGTTTCCAACAGGGAGTTTGAAGGAACAGAGGGAACAATATTGTCAATGGTTTCCATGTGGTGTCAAGACAGAGAGCCCTCTTACATAAGCCCTGTGCTGCTGTTTCCACAGTTTGCAACTTGTATGCAAGGCTTGGTCTGTGCCTGAGAACTGTGTACTGTGTACCTTTGAGCTAGGGTGTCTCTCAGATCCTTAGGTGTTTAATCTTCAAAGGGAGCCCTTACATGCGATTAACAAGCCACTGCTGTAAATACAGCATTTTTGTTCACAAGCTGTTAGAAACTTAATGTTTCTGTGTTAAAACTTTATGTTCTGAACTGAAAAGGCACCAAATTAGTCCCCATTACATGTTTTAAGGGCAAAGGACTATATTTCTAAAAACAATGGGTTTTCTCATCAGCTACTGTGTAGTACCTCTGATTACATTGTTTCTCATTTACAAAGCTTGTAAATAAAGTGCTCGTAAACAAGGGATGAGGAATCCAGAATGTGAGTTATGGTTTCTGAAAGTCAGACAGCACGACAGCTAATGGGTGGATCAGATGGAGATCCAGGATGGAGGCCCAGTCTCCTCAGGTAAGCCACGGTGCCCCTACCTGTTCTGAGGTGCTGGTTATAATCCCCTGCTGCAGCCGGAACACCTGGTCTGAAACAAAGGCCTGGCGCTGGCTGTTCCTGACCAGGCAAGACTGGATCTATGGGACAAAACAGTATATTCAGATTGCAGTGGGGAAAAAATAACACCATATGGGGGCTATGACAGGACGTAAGGGTTATTTTTCAAAAATGTGGCAATTGGTAATTATTTTCTTTATGATGTGTCGACCCAAATTACCAATTGTGTTAAGAGAGAGGATGAGACACGCCCACATGCAGAACCAACCAGCATTTGATGTGCTGTGACCTCCATAGCACCCAACGGGAGAGTCAGCAGATGTCACTCAAGTCTGCAGGGGTTACACAGGTCACAGGGCTGCCCGTTTGCTGGGAATCCAAGAGATGCCTGGCCAGCTCATCCCAAACCTACTTGAGCACAACTCTGCCAGCTGTCTGGCCTTGCTAAGGGAATCCCTGACACATTCAGCTAGCAGCACAGCCCAGCTCATTTTAGCAAGATCACTACCCATGCTTCAAGACAGAACTCAACAGCACCAGGGTAAGGGAATTTTCACAATCCCTGGCTCACTTTCTTACTTGTCCTGTTCCATTTGAAGTCCCATTATTTCCACAGTACTTGGGCTACTGGCTACTCCTTAATACAGGAACCCCCACCTTCTGCAAGGCCTCCTCTGTCTTCTCCGGGCTGCTGCGGTAGGCCTGGGACACATCACTCATGGGAATGGCCATGGAGTGTAGGGTGTAGTTCCTGGATAGACAAGATACACTTGACACAACCCAAACCGCAGCAGGACTTTTTTATTCCAGTGTAAGCAATTCCGATTTAATTCAGCTCTGCGGATACTTTGCCCAAGTCATTGAGTTTATACTTACTTTTCCATTGCATTCGCCACATCCAGGAATCCGCTGGCCGTGACGTTGTTCTTGTCCCAGATTAGTGTTCTGTGCCGAGGAAGAAACGGACAGGGGCAGTCCAACATGAAGAATTACTACAACGCTTTTGAGCACAGGGGGCTGGAGAGTTTTCTGCATGGGAGAGAATGCTGGTGTATGTGCTTCTCTGACTAGGGAACACTGAAGAAACACGTGTTGTCTGGACTATCTCAGCAGCGCCCAGGACAAGACTCAGATAAAAAAAACATTTTCAGTAAAAAAAAATTCAACGTTTCATAAAAAAACATTGTGCAGTCTTCACATTTTAAACCCTATGCACAACTTTTAAAGAAAGTGCTATTCATGTCCTCTTGAGCTGCAACGTGTTGTCTCTGGATATATCATTTGAAATTTCAAATCCACTTGGTCCTGTTAGTCCCTTTTTCTCAGTAAACCACATGACTGGTAAATCAAGCATGTTCATAGGTTAACCTAGTCTCTCACTCACTTTTCTAAGGACAGCAACAAGCTTTTAACTCTTAAGCTCTTAAGCTCTTGAACATGAGCACATTTCCATATAAAAACCATGCATTTGGATTGATCAGTAGCAGTTTATTACCCTATAAGGTGTAAACAAGGTCAGAGAGTTAGGCAGTTAGGTCAGTCTTGGGCAATTCAGCTAAGATCCCTGTTCCCTTTCATTTGCTAAATCACGAAAGGATACATGAGTAACACCTCCACTCGAGAGAACCTGAAGAAACGTAGGCCAGCTGGGAGTGCACAAAAAATGGTTCTTGAGGGCCTAATTGCTAACTCCTAACAGGCTTAGGTTACTTCAGTGCAGAGCAAGCTGAGAGTAGAGTCAATACAGATGGCAGCATACAGATCAGGAGGAGGAAACTGTGGCTCCAGTTATTGATCTTCAGCAAAGACTGAAAAAGTTCAGGCTGTCTACCCTTCTGGGTGTGCACTCCCTGAGAGACTCTGTGCCTGGATACCTGAGCTTGGTGTTAATCTGCAGAGCCTTGGCCAGCATCTTGGCCCCAGTGTCTCCAATGAGGTTGCCACTGATGTCGATCTTGGTGAGGCTGGTGTTGCTGCCCAGGGCGTTGATCAGCACGGTGGTGCCGGTCTTCAGCTTGGAGTCGGCCACTGACAGCGATTCCAGAGGCTGGTGCAGAACACAGCAGCAGTTAGGACAGGTCATGCCAGTGTGCAGGTGAGTGCATGGTTGTAAAGAAAAGCGCTGAGGCTTCACGAAGATGAGCTCCTTTCTCAGTCTGATCCATGACATGTAACACTTCAACAAAGAAAGCTCTGAGCCTACTCTGGGTTATCACTGCTACACTGGACCTATGAGGTCAATGGTGGAGGACATTATTAATGGTGATTTTCTTTGTAAAATCATGTTAATTATTGCCATGTATGTTTTCCCCTGTTGGGTCTTACACATCGTCACATAACAATGACACCACTCAACGCCTAATTAGCTCCCTTTTTACTCCAGGATCCCTAATGACCAAATAACTGGTGTATTATTGAGCACAGCTCTGTCACATCTGTCCAGCTCAGAAGCTGAGGTCCTTCACAAGTCCACTGCAACAGCCTACAGCCAAGCACACCTCCACCGGAGTGTGAGGCAGAGGCTGTGATGTATGGTCTCTGCAGTGGGACACTGCCTCTCTGTGGCTCTGTGGTGGTCTGAGCTAGTCGGTGAAGACCCTTCCGATTGCTATGCATTAGACAGCATCTCTGCTTCCCCCAACAACCTACAGTCTGTTGTTTGAGTGTAGCCAGTATGTACTAGTAACACCTGATTTATCATTCTTAAAAGCGAGCAAGTTGCATCCCCACATGGGCAACAACCATTTAACACCGTCTACGGCTTGTTGGGATATGAGCTCCCCCAGTTGCTCACATTCAAAAAGCCATCAAGCCTGCTCAACTGCAGTGAGCTTCACGCAGAGCTAGGAGCGGAGAACAGTATGTTATTTACAGAATCTGGGTTTGAAGCTTGAAACGGTTCAAAGTTTTATTCCCTTTGAGAGTCTCAGTGGTCCTGGACAAAAACTACTCGTAAAACACAGCCAGAAACCCAAACTGCTCCAGGAAAGAAAGAGGATCTGCGTGAGAGAGCGCTGCTCTCAACTCAAAATCAAAGAGGCAGGGCAAGTATAACAGATTTATTCTGAACAGCTCTAGTATTCCCGAACGAGAGAACTATACTAATTATCTCAACATTTCCGTTCTTCCAGTTTAATTAGTGAGGTGATATCTCACAGGGATAGGAATCGGAGTAATTAAAGCTCTGCTCTGCTCTGCTGGCTCAGTGGGCTTTAATTCTTAGTCTGCACATCTTCAGAAACAGGACTCATTCCTCACCCAGGACTACAAAGTCTTCTGCCCAAATTTTGGGTTTAGCAAATATATCCAAGCCAATATATTTGGATATATACTTCTATGACAGAGAGCGAGAGATACACCGCAGCTTCTCAAGTTCTTCTCAAGAAAGCGGTCTCATATTCAAAGAAATAACTGTAATATAAGACAAGCATAATTAACAAGTAAAATGATTCCCTGAGTGTATGTTGAAAGCACAGGGCACTGTGCATGCTGACGCCCTGGAGAGTGAGTCAGTTCATCACAGGGCACAAACACACGCAGACATGTAGATACACAGGGATAATTCAGGGATGCCAATCAAGCTCACCAGCATGTCTTTGGATTATGTAAGGAAACCAGAGATACAGACATGGGGAGAACATGCAGACCCCATACAGATGGGCATCCTCATTTTCAATTGCAGCCTCAACAGCTTCCAGAACTACCTTGCTCCAAAAACAAAACGGATGAAACAACCAAACAGCTGAGACTCACACACTCTTCCTCCTGGATGAGCTGCACGATCCTGTGCAGGACATCAGTCAATGCCCTGCGAGGAACGAGACACCTCATCAAAATCATGACATCAGTGTCATCCAATATGACAATATGACATAAAAAACAACTGTATTTTCATCTCCGCTGGGTATGATGTCATGGCCAGAGGGGAAAATGCTCTGTCTGAGAGGAATTGCTTTACAGTTACAAATTGCTCTCTAGGAGCACTATCAGTAAGTCTTACAGTATGCCCTGCCTGTTCTCTGGGACTGCCCCTGTGCTCTGACTGGGGGCTGGGGCAGTACCAGCTGCCCGGACTGACCTGGACTTCATGGTGAAGTTCTTGCCCAGGGCGAGGTGGCGGATGGACTGGCTATGGCCGATGGACAGCACCAGGGTCACCATGTCGCTGTCGAAGCCTTTTAGAGAAGGGACACCACAGGCAGGTGAGCAGACACAGCAACCCCCTGCGCCCGTCTGGTTCATCTCTGATGATGAACCCAGGATGAACCAGGAAGAACCTATGATGAACCCAGGCCCGGCCTTCCTTAACCTCTGCTTGGCCTAAGCGTGACAATGATTTACAGACAGTCCGCATAACTGCAAGCCAGTTCAGTGTCCTTTTCAGCATTTTCCTGCCAATGAATTGCAAAAGAGAAAAGTCCCAGAGATGAGCTGTTTTTATTTTCCCAGACATGTTTTAAATCCTTTATTATTATGACCCCTTGCTTGTAAATGCTGACACTGTCATTGTTTTGAGTCTTTTACAGCTCGTGCATTCTCTGAGAATTAACAAGGAAACTGTACATTCAGTCTGTGGGGTCATTCTTCCCCAGCAGGTGAGACAGGCCTGTTCCCAGGGGCAGACACTCCATGATTAATCGCGCAGGGCCAGATTACAGCGTCACTGGTCCCGAAGAGCCATTTAGGGCAATGAACTGATTAAAAAGGCCAGGGTTTCCCATCACTGATGTAAACAACTCCTGGCACACTCTCAGCTCTAAGAGATAATTGGCTTTTTATACTCTTATACAGCGACAATATAAATTTGGACGTATTTCGTTGTCAAACTTGTCTCCGTCATGGCACAATAAAAGCAGCAATATGAGCCTGATAGGGGATGTGAAGGGGCTGACCCCTTACTGAGAACAAACATAAGCGAATTATCCCTTGCCTTAATCAGTTTTGTGTCTGTGCCCGTAGACAGCTCGTTTCAGGGGAGCACAGCCAGCACAGGACTGAAAAACGGTAATTTAGGGAGCCATTGATTTTCTTCCAAAAAAGAAAGGCTTCTAAAACCGTCCATCTATCTGGCACACCGGTGGTCCTCCAGCCCCGAGTGCACCTACTGGCAGTTTCCCTCCTGCTGAAAAGGCGAAGTGGCACACTGCTGTGGTTCCCTGGCCAGTATGTGTGTGACTTTCATTTCACTATCTGTCGCCTCTTGTGCTCAATGTCTCCGCGTGCTTCCTTTTTTCCCTCCATAACTTCCCATTTTGGTTAATTCTTATTGTAAAACCCACGACTACCTGTTTTAAAATGGTAAGAAAACAAATCTATTTTTTTTCATTCAGAACATGACCTATACATGGTTAGCCCTCATCTGTGAAGACCCAGATATAGTAAAAAAAAAAAGGTTAACCTTTCCTACAAGGCACGTCTTTACTATGAACAGTAAACTGGGATCCACTGTGAGCCGAATCATACGGTTGATGAACAAGACACCTTCAGACAGAACATGATTTTGAAGTTGCTCAGAAAGCAAGAACAGCCACACCTGTGTTGAAAGGACTGTTAATTACCTCAACCCATCCTGTATCAAATTGTCTGAAAATAAAACATCCAGTCACTAAAAATAAAAACAAACCGAATCACAGACACTATCAACTATCACTGTGCTTTTAATCGGTTTTTACATTTCTTTTATATCTCTTATTATGCAACATCACCTTATTAGCCACCTTCCATAATGAGCTGCTCAGAGTTCTTGACATAAATCAAATTTAGAGCAGCTGTTCGCTTACTATTCCAGCCTTTAAATTACAGTTCATCTGGTAATAAAAGGCAACTATCAAATAAAGTTGATTAAAAGTAAATATTTAATTTAAAGGTGCAGCTTAGCTTCTGAATAGTGTAAAACTAATAATATCATCACAGCACACAATTAAAAAATGAATAATTCATAATGACAATTGAGCAATCTCTAGGGCACAGTTTACCCACTATTTACGTTCAGGCTCAAAACTTTAATTCTGGCTCAAGGTGTCTGTATGTGCTGGAACCTGGTGGCAGGGAGAGGCTGGGAGAGGCTGGGAGCGATCTCAGAGATGTCATTACCGTTGTCTGAGAGGTCCAGACTCCCGATGGCCCTGGCTTCGAAGATGTGCTCTTGAATAACCTGGGCACCTGCGGACCTGAGCTGCACCCGGGAAGCAAGCGAGAGACATCCGCGGAAGTGCAAGACAGAAAAACATTAGACTTCGTTTAGAAGGGCAGCCCTGTGCTTATCCATCCCTTCTTCCTGAAAAGGAAATCTAAAATCTTTTAAAAAATGACAATGAAGCATAAGCTAAAACAATTCGCCAGCAGGTGTGGCTGAGGCCTGGCCGAGTGTGTCACTGATCGCGTGCCTGTGGGTTACAGGCGTCTTTACCTCACAGTTGCTGAGGTCCAGCTCCAGGCCTGACAGCTGTGCGTTGGTGGCCAGACCCTGCAGCAGTAACCTGCAGGAGAGCGAGAGGGAACACACTCTTCAGCACCACACCCCCGTCACGCAGCTCCCAGTAACGCAGGAAAGCATTACTGAGCATACTCAATAAGCTGCATAGCACTCGAAAAGCATTCATGTCAGGCTTCAAAGAAAATCAATATGAGAAATGTGAAGCAGTAAAGTTAACGACAGGAGATGAGAGATGGCATGCATCGCAATTAGAAAAAACAAAACTCTCTCCGAGTGAAGCAAGTGACACATTTTTCTCTCGGAGACGGTCTTTTATTTCTTATTTGAACAGCCTGCGTTGGAAACTTATTATACACACATTGTAAATACGTAATTCTTTTGGTGATACTGCTCAGAAGGTTCAAATTTAACCTTAACAGCGAGCTCTTCTAGACCCACTCTGTAAGAGTCCTCAAGTCACCTGTGAATAGGTCTGTTCAAGCCAAACTGAAATGCTCTACGTCATTGTGACACCAAAACGCCTGCATCTTCCATCTCTACAAAATCTAATGCATAGATGAGCAGTGTAGAATAATGGAGTAAAGGTCTTAGGTGAATGAAAGAGCACACCCGTGCATGAGTCCACAGTAGACAGGATATTTCTAAAATGCAAGACTGTGTATTAGATGCCTATATTACAGTATTAGTTCAGGTGGGTGCTGCGTCAGCATGTGTAGGCTGCAAAGGAACAAGTCATAGGTTTATTCCATGCTGAAAAGAGAAGAAAGAAAAGTTCTGTTCTATGAAACGTTGTGTTGTCTTTCTTCTTTTTTCAGCATGTAATAAACCTATGACGTGTATATTACAGTATGTAAGCTTGCAGGGGAGGTTTCAGTTAAACCCCTCCCGATTCAGCTGGACTCACTCACCTCAGAGCCTCAGCAGGCAGCCTGGTACCTGAAAGGCCGACGTATTTGAGCAACGCACACTGGCTGAAGAAGTCCTTCACACTGCGAGTTATTTCCTTCACCTTCCTGGGGAGAGAGGCCAAGTCAGCGGAACAGCCGCTGTTCTACAGAGCTGCAGCAGGAGGGGGGCAGGCCTGCTGCCCGCTCGAGAACATGGCACTAATGAACAGCTAAAGGTAGTTCAGACAGTGGGATCTGCAAGAAACCAGCAAGTACACACTACACAGGGGCATCACACACTACCAGATACTGCTGTTCCTCACAAAGATCATTTAATGGAAGCACTTCAAGTGTTTTAAGTTTCATAAGCATGTATCACTGGACTATTCATTCAGGACAAAAAGTTCAGATACAACTTGCTCCTATCAAAACTGATGAGAGTATGAACACATACAATGTTTAGAAATATACACCCACTTTTGCATTTTCCACGCATTCAAAAAACCTTTTCAAACCTGCTTCTACAAGTCACTCTTTGGTTCCTTCTCATCTAGCTAGACTCCAGGTGGAGCATAGCGGTGCTGCTGGGTTAAGGGGAATAAGGAACCACAGACTCACCTGTGTGAAAAGATGTTTCTGGACAGGTTGAGATAGGTAAGCTTGGAACAGCAGCCAGCTGACAGTGATACAAAGAGCTAAAAACAAGATTAGAAAGGGATTTTAGCCTTGTAATCAATGGGTTAAGAAATGTCCAGCTGATCAACAGAGCAATAAACACAAATATACACCTTGGGAACCCTATACAGCCATGAAGTCCCAATGTCCTGGGACTTTCAAAGCCAATATCCCAGTTTCTTTCAGGAAAAAGCTAGACGAGATCCTTGGATCATTAAACCAAGAGAAAGTGCATTTACATTTGAGAACAGGCATTTCTTTCCATAAAGGTTTGCAAGAATGTGGAACAATGTAACCATAACAGTGAATCAGCTGGATGGCATTCTCAGACCGCTTAAGTATGAGCAACCAGAAGTGCTAGCAGAGCAGCTAATGGCCACCTCTCACTTGTCACCACTTATATACATAATAGTGAGGAGGGTGATCCTCTCACTTTGCTAGCAGGGCCTGTAGTGCAGCTCTGTGGGGCAGAGCCTTCAGTGTGTGGCTACCGAGGACAAGGGCGAGGTGTCCAGCCAGTACTCACAGTGTCCAGAGGGCAGTCAGTCCCACTCAGGTCCAGGTGAGACACTGCGTTGCTGCAGGATAGGAAGTTAAACAGGTTCTATCAGAGAAAACGGAAATGAACAGACTTGTTACTTCCTCAAAGTTTTGATTATGTGCTGCTCAGTAAGGTGCTAATTTTAGGTACAATCTACATGTTAATATAGAAAACAACTCAACGTGCTGTAGAAAACAAGCATTGATTACTGGCAATGAACTGATTCCAAGCAGTTTGCGGAACAGATGACTGGGATTAAAAGTGCAATGAATCGATACAGGTACTGGAATATTAACACCTTTCCTGTCACACGCAGACTGAATTAGGAGCAGTCAAGGGGTGTGGATGGGGTGCCTGGATCATCAAGGTGAGCTGAGAGAGCTCCTCTTTCTGGTGAGGCCCGCAGGACTCACCGTGGCCTCCTCAGTGGCTAAGAGCCCTGCGTTGTTGGAGAGGTCGAGGTGGCGCAGGGAGCTGGAGAAGGACTGGTTCAGCAGGAAGGCCTGGGCCAGGCTGCCCACACCTGGCACAGACGGACGAGAGGGGGGCGACACAGGAAGGATAAGAGGGGGCAGATCCCAGTCAGAACACACTTTATATAAGGACTCCATGCCAATTCTGTAGAGGATAATGCAGTGTGGATTTCAAGAAAGGGCTGGATAAGGTCCCTGGTCCAATTAGCTTACAACAACCAGTTGACTATGATGAGCTAAATGACATTTTGTCGTGCCCTTTTCTTCCACAGTCATGGGCTTCTAGGCCCTGGCAGGAGTTGAATCACGTGCCCATCCATGGGCCCGGCCATCTATGATCAAACATTAGGAAAGCCTCTCCCTGAGGCTGAGCTCTTACCTTTGGGCGAGAGGGATATTCTGGAGAGGGACAGCTGCGTCAGCCCACTGGGCAGCTTCTCCAGCTCCTGGCTGAGAGCTACCACACCTGGGGAGGGGCAGCACGTCAGACATGCACAGGCAGCAGCAGGAGGCCCTTTCTGTCAGCAGGCACCTCCATGCCTTCACAGTCTACAGCAACAGCTGGCAACTACACATGCCACCTATTTCTACTCAACAGTACAGAGAGAAGGAAGAAAAGAATGAGAGTCTGCACTGAAACACCCTCTCTTCCCCTCTTCCCCAGGAGCAAGTAAGCCTTTAAAACTAGCATGCCTGAACTGGTTTAAAAAATAAGAATTGTTTTCAAATTATTTTTCTTTTTCCTTTCCTCCGATGTTCAAAAACCAATTTCTTCCTCTCAGTATGACAGCAAGGCTGGCTGACAAACTTATGTCCAAGAGAAACACTCAGGACCCCACAATGTGTTTTGCTTGATGGCACCTATTGTAGCTCCTGGTTTGTAGGTCCCGTCATGAAAGCACATGCAAGTGGAACAAGGCTGAGAGATCCGGGCCAGCAGCCCTGACCCTGTGGAGAGGGAGGATGCCCAGCAGACCACACGCCCCACCTTTGTCCTCGATCTGATTGGCCGACAGATTAATGGTGTGCAGAGCCGAACAGGAGTGGTCTCTGAGGGCACACGCCATCTTCGGCGCGAAGTCCCTGCGAGGGGAGGGGGAGGAGAGACAGCATCAGCCACTGCAAATCGTAGGGGATCTGTTGACTACCCCAGCTAACTCCCGCTGTGTGCATTTCACCAGTTCTTCCTATACTGCATTCATTTCACAAGCCTTCACCTCCACTATACCACAGTTGCTTTTTTCATTCTCATCTTATACAGAATGCGCTCATATCAGTTTTATTCTGTAAAGGGTAGAAATAGTTGAATCATGGACACATAGTATAAGCAGATTTAAGGTGGATCATGCTGGGGCTTGATGTCAATGGTGTTGTGGGTTTGAAGTGTGTGCTCTGATGTGTCCGCACTGCAAGGGCGTGTGCCTGAACTATCCAACCCAAACCCATCTAGTCCCAGACCCCGTGAGCAGGACACACCTGATAGAGGCCATGCCACATGGTCAGAGACCATCCCTCTTCCTCATGGGGAGAAACCCCTAAGGCCTGCAATTTTGTGTAGCCAATCAAATGCAAAGTGCATGTCTGTGGGAGGAACACCAGAGTACCAGAAAAACCCACACGAACAGAGGGACTCCACACAGATAGGAATCCCTCGCCAGAGTCGAACCCAGGACTCTGGAGCTGTGGGGCGGCAGTGTCAATCATCGTGTCACCTACCAGGTTTTATCAAATTATTTTTAAAAGAAGAGAAACTCACGAATTGTTCGTCAGATATGATCTTCCTCTAGGTATCATGGGATGCCCCCTACAACCAAGAGTTCATGTCCTGCCTTCCGCTGACTGTGGCCAGGTGCATCTGAGCAGCCTGTGCTTTACAGACTGACCGCTGCAGCCCAATCAGCTCATGTCTTGTTCAGAAGATAGCAGCACAGACAGTACGAGCCCAGCAATACAGGCGGTCTGGAAAGACGTGTGTATGGAATGCGCTCGACCTCTCCCAGGACAGAGCTGGGGCAGGAGGCAGGATGTACTCACGGCTTCAGCCCGCTGTTCTCCAGGCACACCTCTTCCAGCTTGGGCGAACGGTTGATCATGTAGAGCACCTGTTCCAGCACCTCGGGGCTCTGCACGACACACACAGCACCAAGCGGAGCTTGGATCAGCCGCACCGGGGCGCAAGGAAGCACAGCGGAGTCGCGCTCTACGGGGGTTATTGTGGTCAGTTCGAAAAATCCCAGGGAGAATATGTATGTGCAGGTTACGGGCAAGGAGAACACAAATATGTACTGTGGCAGAATGCGGGGGCGTGTTCAGTGTGGAGGCGGAACCCTGGGTTAAGGGCGACGCGTTGCCTTGGCAACCGCAGCTGACCTGGCTAATTTAAGGATGAGCCGCAGCTGTGGGGGTCCGTTAAGAGCACACTGGAATGAAGAGCAGAACCCCACAAGTGGAGAACCTTCTGGTGACAGTCCCGTAAGGGGTTGTGAGGAAAGCATTGAGGCCATGTTTTTGCTTCTATTTTCTTTTCCTAGTCTTCTATCTCGCTGTGATGATTCACCTGGGCAGGCTGACTTCTCTTTTGTTTTTGGCGGCTCTCCTTTTCTTCCGGTGTGGACTATCCGTAATTCAGCAGGGTCCAGACTGAATACCACTGTTCCAAGAGACCTTTCTTTTTTCCCTCCCAGACTGGACCCCCTTAAATAGGGATAGTCCAGTCTGGATGCCGCTGTGCAAAATGGTGTGCTTTTTCCTTCCCTTTTCTTGTTTTTTCTGACCTCACACTGGTACCTCCGCCCCCTCAGACAGGGTGTCAACTTTTACCAGTCCTCCCAAGAACCCTCATTATAACAGTCCGTAAGAATATGTCTGCAGGAAATATATAGTTTTTGGGCTACAGGCTACAGGTTCTGAACGCCAGATCCACAAAGCACAAATGAGAGGCAGGCCTGCTGCACCAGAGAATCAGTCCCCTTCTGCAGAGTATAAACACTTTCTATAGGGCGATGAGTTATATCTGCAATGGGGAAACACAGTACACTGTAAAACCACTGCACATTGGAAACTTTTATGAGGAAACCTGTACTGGAAGGAATCTTCCACTGAGGTGAAAGGGGTGGTGGAATTGTGCTTAATAAGAGAAAAATTGGATTTGTGGATAGTTTAAGGGTAGTCATAAAAGCCTGGTTCTGTGTCAACAAGTCATTTCCCACACAACGAAATGAAAGTCTTAAATGGCGATGAGAGGCAGTGAGGTTTTGAGCCCACACATTCAGGTAAATATTCAGTTTACCACAAAGATAAAAGGCCCCATTTATTAAGCAGTTTTCTCTACACTACACTTAGCATTTGTAGTTTCAAAAAAAGAAAAATAAAGTACCGGTTATTATAAAATATAAACACCCTTTAATGATTCTTTAACTGATAACCCCAAAGATGTACAGTATGCAATGCTTTACTCATTTCTTAGATTTTCTAATTAGGGTTTGGACCCGAAAAGTATCACACAGTAGTGACTAAGAAACCAAACAGATCTCTTCCTTTCAAGAAACTGTATCTGACTCATGGAGTCACAGCCCATAGCCCAGGTTGTGACCGCATGGTTCACACACAGCCTCTGTAAGAGTCCTCAAGTCACCTGTGAATCAGTCTAAATCATCTCTCCCAGGGGAGAACAGCACAAACCCGCCAAATACTGGAAGTCCTTGTGATGTCTCCCATGTCTCAGTGTATCACACGCTTCGCAGGGGATGAGGGGAAGAGACAACTGAAGTGGGCTGTTTTAAAAGTCAGGTGAAGGCACCCGTTTCTCATGCACTCCTCCACCATTGTCAGACAAAGGATGCGAGCCTGGATAGCTACCAACAAAGTTGCCCTCTTTTCACCTTGACACCCCTTTGTTGGGCATAGTCATGCAAACAGGACAGTGGTTCCCAGACTGGCCAGGGCTGATGGATCGGGCCTGAGCTTTCTCCCAGCCTGGCAGAGGTTATCTAATCAAATCCAAACACGACTAGACCACATAGGTCTCCAGAACAGCCACCCAAACGATTTCTTTAATCCATGCACATCCATGATACTTGAGCTCTGATCGGTTTATGGTGCTTGACTGAAACACATAGCAAACGTTTATAGTGGCAGAATTCCAGCAGAGCAAACTAGTCCTAAGCTTAGTAAAGGACATCTGTTATGACCAGGGCAGTGCTGTAGGCATGACGGACCCTAGAGCGAAGGCACCATAGTCCAGCGATCCGCTATCCCGCGTGGCCCTCTTTCACCGGGGCCGAACCGGATGTGTCTGGCTCCCCCGCGCCCGTCACTTCCAGACCCTGGCCGTGGACTTGCGGGGACGGTTTTGCCTCAGGTTGGCTTTGAGCCATGGTGCAGCGAGCTGGCCACTCTCCTGGAACTGCGGTGCCCTAGCTCTTGGGTTTGTAAGACCCACAGCACAACAGTTGGAACGTACGTGTTTTTTACTCTGGCATCAATTCGAGGGTATGAGGTTGGGGAAGGGGGAGGGACTTACCAGTCTGAAGTCCTTGCTGTAGAGCTTGGTGAACCACTGATTGAAGGACAAGGCTGCCACAGCCAGGGCAACATCTCTGAGAGGGAGCAGAGAGGAGAGCAAGGTTTATTGGCTTATCACCTTCAGTCGCACCTGCTTAGAGCTCCAGAAAACCACCCTGAGTGTGTTTTCACTGTGCGTTAAAGACATTGTGACACTGTGTGTAGGTCTTCCACCTCTTCCTATTGAAGGGTAAAGCAATTCTGATGGTGCAGTGGCAGATCAGCATGTAATACACGCAAACACATCAAATGATATCTATAATATAGCATCATTTGTCTTGTGATACAAAGGTATTCAAGCCCACTGTCTTTTAATATTTGGACAGAGAAACTGACTTGAAACCAGCTGCAGGGCGAGAAAGAGATCCCCAGAAGGTGAGAAGAAAACCACGCCCGGGCTGACTGACCTGCTGTCTAGGTGGCTGAAGTCCAGCAGGTTGAACTCCCGGCAGCTCTGGACATGGTAGATGTTGTCCACATCCTGAGAGGCATAGAAACAGCCAGAGACAGAGGGAGGGTCACAGAGGTGACACACAGGCGCGATGAAGTCGGCACTGGCTGGAGGAGTGCTGGATAACACACTGCATCAAGGCCAAACCATGGAGAAAACACAGGAAGCCTTGGACAGAGGCATCTCTTTGGGTTTTTTTACACATGGAAATACACAGCTCACCAAAGGAAGTCGGATTTGCTAGTGTGCTGTTCGTTTTCTTGTTCCTTCCTGATAAGAAAAGCTTCCAGCTGACCACTCCGACATGCGCACTGCGCCTACAGAGCTGGAACAGTTGCTATTTCTAAACTGTGAGCAAACCACATATTTTCCATGATACCTTTGGCTGGTTTTCCTTTGCACTTTGTGCAAATAAGTGAAACTTTTGCTGCTCTGACGCGAGAGCAATCACTGGCAGGGCAGAACGACAACCCTGAAGGGGTGCTGGTTTCAGTGTCACAGACCGCAAACGCTCAACGAAAAGACTCTCCTCTTCATACCTGTGTTTGCCTTAAATCACAATGGAAACCAATGGTGTGGTGGTTCTTTAGCACTTAACTAAGAGCTAAACACAGGCTTTGTGCACTGGATAGATACCATGAGACAATGTTTTAAATCCCAAGTATAATATATTTATAAAGTGGTTTACATTCTGTCCAAACAAAATCTAGAGGCTTGGAGGACAAGTAAGGGGTCTATAGAGACTAGAAAGCATACTGACCCACTGGATCTCCTCTCGGCAGGGGAACTCATTGAAGTCACACAGGGCTGCGTAAGTTTCTGAAAAACCTCCTGAGGGAGACGAGAGAACAGAGAGAAAATAAAAGATTTAGCCTGCCAATTGAAGGTCCCTGTTGGCAAGTCAAGAATCAAATGAAGAAAAAGAGAACATTAAACAAACAGAGTGAGAAATGTTTAGATTATGAAGTACAGCTGCTAACTGTAACGATACAGAAAAATGATGTTATTGAAAACGCACTGAAGATACACCACGATCACTCTAAACTGGCAAGTTCAAGCCAGCTGACTAACACTGAGGTAATAAACAGAGAAGAACAAAAATAAATCAAGCTGTGGTTTCACACTTTGCTCACTGTGTATCATGTCATGTGTATTAATATCTTTTTTGTATTTCTGACTAAAGAAAAGTTTTGGAAGAGACTCTGCTGACCACATGGCCCCTGTCTTCCATTCATGTGCTCTTCCACTGCAGTTGTCAGCCTCTTGAATCTGTCCTGCAAGTCTGGAGGCGTCTTCTTCAGCAGCTTCCTGGGAGGGCAACAGAACGCAGACAGATGGGCCCACCAGCTCTTCCTTTTTCATCGTTTCAGTCAACTTCTGAACAAACTGACACACGACATCAGCAAGCCTCCGATTTTCAGTGATGGCCTTTATACAAAACTCAAGCAATTATTTGAAAATAGTAACAATATGGGTACATAGCTACAAATGATGAAAAGCACACCGACAAGAAAAGCCTAAATGTGTTTGAAAATTTTGATTTATGCCTAAAGCCCATCCATTTTCTAACCAATTTATGGTCGCAGGAGAGCAACAGGCGCAAGGTCTGTACAGGACACCAGTCCATCACAGAACACGCAGACACAAACGTGCACATTCACTCTAGGGCCAATTTACCCAGAAGCCAATTAATATATCGGCGCATCTTTGGACTGGGGGGAAACCCAAATAAATACGGAGAATTACACATACTCGATGCAGACAGCACCCAGGAATTGAGCCCAGATCCACAGTGCTAACCCCTGCACCACTTTGGCACACTCTTATGTGGAACATGAGATTGTACTGTAAATACTGAGAATCTAACTCTTATAATAACAGGATCATTCTTCCCTGCACAGTAAACAGCTGAATAAAATGTGCTCTTATACATTTTGAAAGCTACTGCATTTTATGACCTGTTAAAACCGAAGATACATGTGCTGTTTGTCAACATAAAGGAGTTTTGAACAGATGTATCAGGAACCACTGCAGTTTCATAGAAAAGTCATATCTTATCATCTGCATAATAAATGTAATCTTAGAAATGTGCAATAATTAGAGCTGAGCATAAACAGTTGCATATTCTCCTGGGTAAAGATTTGTGTTGCATGCTTGAAAGGATTCATTGTTACTCATTTAATTGTCTTCCATTGGTATTTCTAGCTTCTCAGAATAGGTTTAGCTTGATTTTGCCCAGAGAAAAAAGTAGGTTATATAGCAGGATTGAATTTAACAGCGTATACGTCTAGGAAGCAAGAGGATCGCTTCACTCAAACAGTGAAAGTGGAC